TTTTAAATATATATACAAATTAAATACAATTTAATTATTTATATAAACAATATTTTGGAAAAATATATGTGCCTGTTAATAAATTATTACATAATCATGTATCTATTTATGAAAATATAATTTACCGATACGTTACAATTATGAAGTATTTAAATCATTTTTTTTTTTTTAGGAGCTTCCATTAAAAAATATTCCCTCTTAATAACATATAATTATAAGAGCTCATAATAATATTATAGTGTGCTCACAATTTACATACAATTCATTATTTAAAAACTAGACGTGTTTTTGTGATATTGTTTACTACAATTTTATTTGAAAGCTGAATGCATTTTTTGACAGCCAGATTGTCGAAATTATCAAACAATTAAAAACTGCTTTTACTGTCTTTGGTTACCGGTTATATTTATTAGTAAAATACGGCAGTTTGTATGGTAAACAAAATACGTTTTGACGATATTGTAACCATCAAGCAGCAAACGGTTTACCGAAAACTGCATCGCTAAAACCCGTCTATTATTATAACCCTCTACACGTTTATTGTATTTTCTTATTATTTGTTAATTAATAATTATTAATATGAGTATATCACAAATTTGATTATTAGATGTTAAATTTATAAATTCAAATGCATATTATAGGACACTTACCATTAGGTATATTTTATAACTGCTACACCGTCATAATAATATTACGACGGAAATCCAGGTGTTTTAACAGCGTGTTGCACAACTCGTACATAATTGTGCGTCGACACTATTATGTAGATATATTATTATAAAAACGGCAGACCCCTAATAAAAGGGTGGAAAAAATGTATATATATATATATCGGAGGGTCGGAGTACAAGGCTTCCATGTTTTTACCACTATTGTGAAGAACACTGTGTGTATATAAAGGGGTGGGGGATAAGTCAGCGACCAATCGATAGTCGCCGTGGCGAAGCTATAAACGCACGACCGGGAGGGTAGGGCAAAACATATCAATCGGTAGATCCCTTCCCTTAACTAAAAGACCCATTGATGATGCAAGGAGACCGTTTCCTTAGAAGACCGCTGTTCCATGTAATCGAACAACGATTCAAAGTACACACCACAAAGAGATATCTGCTGCTGCTGCTGCATTATACCGGAACACATTATGATATTATTATGAGAGACTACAAAGCCACAAGACAATTGGACCGTAAACACTGACCACCGCCATCTTTCGACTGGTTTACAGTCTAATTAAATATCAAAACATAATATAATTATAATTTAATATTAAAAAAAATTGATCTTAAATTGCTTACAAAGAAAAACTACTATATTACGTTAAATTTGTTTTACGATTAATTACATCTTATAATGAACCTTGGGTTAAAAGTTCAAGCATTTCTGTTTGATCAAACAACTATTGTGTATCCATTATATAATACACGACAATATAAAATGTCTAAATGTAGCTCAAAAGTTATGACAGAATGTTATAAAAATTGTATGACATCTAAAAATGGCCAATATAAGTAGTCCGTGAAAATTGTACGCCTATACGATTATTTTAACCCAATTACAATAAAAAAATAGTGAAACAGGATATTCTGTAAACTTTCCCATTTTTTGCATGTTTGTCTCGGTTTTCTCAATTATTAAGATTACGAAACGGAAAATAAACTTTCTTATATATCAAGTTGACAAAATTTTCTTTTAGAAAAGATATTCTGCAGTTGAATTTTAATACAAGACTTCTGGAAGAAAAGAAATAATCGAAAGAATAAGGATAATTAAATCGTTAACGCCGTAAATTTGTTCGTATTTCATTTATAGTTTTTTCTAGTTTTTCGTAATGATTATTAAAGTCGCGTAAAAAATAAAAAAATAACACTAACTAGGTTCAATGTGTAACAAAAAAGGTATTATTTTGTCATTTTTGATTGGAGCAATATTTTTATTAAAAAAAGTTGTTCAAACAGAAAAAAAAACACACATCATAGTAAAACCAATACATTTCTCTGTTCAAAATCTAAAATATTTAAAGTTAAATAATAATAACAATAATAATAATAATAATAATAATATATAGGTAGTTATCAGTTTATCATCTATAGTGCGGTTACAGGAAATATAAATACGGGTTCAGCATACTTTGTTGGTCTACACGAAAAATTGATCCAACACATGTGTTGTAATTCGTAACGAAATAAATATTATAATATTCTGCAACATCGCGGATAGTAAAACACTAAAATTAATATGAATATTGTAATTTGCGCCGTCATAGTTCATCAATAGATATTTGTATTATTTTGTATAACTAACCAACGTTAAACAGTATTATGTAATAACCGTATTGACAATGAATACTGTCTGCAATTGAAAAATAGAAATTCCAAATTATATTTTTTCAATTCGTGTTGTCGAGTCTAGTTCACCGCGATGAGTTCGTCAACGAGGGTATACCTACCATCGAAATGTATTGAAGGAAACACATTTCTTCGTATTCGTGAAATCAACATCTACAATCCAATTTACTAATTGAATATTTTTTACTTATTATCTTATAATAAGTAAACCACAATTTATGTATAATCTGTGATAAACCTTCAAGTGCCCATGAACAAGTGCCCCTGAAACGAGTATTATGGGTATAATTGAATACTCGATAAGTAACTATGTATATATTTAATGAAATTTCGTTATGAAATACGAATTTTAGAGAAAATCATTAGAACTTTTTTTAAATCTGTAGTGGTGCATATATCACATATTTTTATTTCGGGCAAATTTTAGACTCTCCGATACTCAAATATAGTCGATTCTATTATGATAGATGTTAAAATTGTTTCCGGATTTGTCCTATTACTTATGAATAGTTTTAATATTCAAATATGATGTTATGGAAATTATGAGTATTTCGATAGTTGTAAATAAATAATTTATCCAGAGATTTTGTCTCCGAAAATAGAAACTGCAATTTATTACGACTGTTATATATATATATACAAATATATTTTTTTCTCGATATTTTTGGACACTTTTAGAGGCTCCCTCAGAATCAAATAAGTTCAAACTCATAGTTTCATAGTTTTATTTTGTAGGCAGATTAAAGAGATACAATTTAGGTTGAATTTAGATATGAAGTTTTTGTAAGAAAATTATGTTTTTATTTAGCTTTGTACACCACCCCGACGTATTAAATAATACGTATTACATAATACGTCGCGCGCCGTACTGCTACACAAATGACACTCTACTACTCTCCTCCAACCCAAACTTAAAAGTGGAATATCTCGTCAACGGTTCGATGGAAATCAAAAATTTCAACACTATAATTGATTTTAACTAATACTTCATCTATTTATATATAATATAGGTTGCCATTTGAAAATAAAAAGTAGGTAGTGGTTTTACCCCCAACAATAAGGGTGACAAAAAATAATATAAATATAAAATTTTAGAACAGATTGTTTTTTAAATGCTCTAGAAAACAAATTCCGGAAAAAGTGAATATTTTCCGAGATATTGAGTGTACCCACTTAAATGAATCACCTGGTACGCCACTGAATATAATATAGCCTAGTTGCTGGTTGTAAACCTACATTGTATATACACATTACTCGCATAGCACATCGTTTAACAAAATTGTACCAATTCTCTAAAAATAATAATTATGAGAAAATAGTAAATAATTAAAGCTCGTGTGTATTAAATTCGTCTGGAGGGTTTATATAATATATAATATATATATATATACCCATAGTGTATTTGTTAGTCTATTATGTGATGTGTGTGCGTATACTTACTATGCTTTACTATATTGATAAACATGCTTAACGAATTACTACGGGCTAGTAATAAATTATTCCAGTATATATTTATCATTACAACCTTAACATCTAACGACCTACCCCATTCGGAAGTTTTGTACTATCGTTTTGAAAACCATTGCACAGGGGAAGTTTTTCTTTTCAAAAGATCCTTTCAGCTTTGTCTGCACGAAGCGGCCAATGTGATTTCCTATACATATTATTTTCTCTAGTGTCTATTTAAGAGGGGATTTTTTCCCCTCTACGAAAAACCAACCCGTTTTTAATTAACTGCTGTGCACACATACACACAGCAGCAGGCATATTACTGCAACTTTTGCAGCTGCAGTCAGTCGATTATTCGTTCGCCGAAACTTCCATCTAAGGCGCCATTATAATATATTCCTATTGAAAATATAAATCCCCTTTCTCGTCAGTTTATTACAAACCCGTTTTTATATTATATAAAATATTATGATTATTATTATTTTATACAGTATTTGCAAAAACGCTCGGATCGACGTGTTTAATTCGTTTTCGTCGTAATATGAACTATAAAGACGTCATTAATTTTATTTAACTATATAATTTAGTATCTACTTGGATGCACATTTAAATACATTCACATTAAGGAAGGAAAAAAAACCATTTCGTTACGGCCAAAACTCAAACAATATTTTATTCAGATAAATTTTATTTAGATAATAACGATTAAAAAAAAAAAAAAAAAAATCATATTTTCAATAATTTTTCGTTAAATTAAGTATTTACTATATAGAACGAAATAATACACATACAAATTAAAAGATTATTATGTATACTGATGGAATTTTTTCGATAGGAATTAAACAGTTTCTGTTTCTTTTGTATAACAATACAATTTATAAAATTATTATGTATCATAGTAGCTATATAAAAAAATATAATAATAATAATTGCTCGTGTTTTAAATCAATAAATATATGTATGCAATTTAATAACTATATTGCACTTTCAGAACATTATGAGTGTTGTAACTCAAAAATTTCGATTTTGTAGTTCTACATTTTCTAATTGTAAAAATGCAGTTATTTTAGATATATATTATATTTTCTTTGTACCTACACAATTAAATGAGTGCAATTAAAAAGTGATTAATATTACGTTGCCGTAAATATGTTAGTATTTAAAAACAATACACTATTGTGTTACAATTAATTAAAATATTTAATGCTTTGTTCTACTATATATTCTATTATATATTATTCACAGCGTTTTAACTCAAAAAAAAGAACATGTTGATCAAGAGATAATTTATTTTTTTTAAATTGTATAGTATAATTGTATTTATAAACAACATAAATCCATAATTGTACGACGATAGTTAAAATAATTTTTGTTTTGCGTGTATTTATGAAGACGTATAATAAAATCGTTTTTTCTCAAAACATGGTTTTAGAATTACGACTACCAATGTTCTGAATTCCGGCGGTGCAATAGGTACGTAGACCATTAAACTTAACTTGTCGATGATGCTGTAACGAGAATACCTACAAATATAATAAAACAACGGGTTTACACAATAATCTATAGTCCAAATGAAATATCTATATGTGTACACACAGTGGCATATTTACGGCGGTGGGGAGGAGCCCAGGGGTGCTAAGTAAAAAAAAATGTATTACATATATTATGTATATTCGTGTCGCTGTGCTATTATACGAGTAGGTATCTAAGTTGTAGTTAAAAATAGTGCGATAAAGTACATTTACGATGAAGACTATCGCACGGAAAAACTTATTGTTATTGATGGATCATAGTTTGTTTTAGTTAGGCGACTAAACAATTCAAATTTACATAGTATACTTATTTATATCATAATACATAGTGCATAATTTATGTACGCAATTGTTATTTAAACTATTGTCCATACACACCCAGAAAAAGTTAAAAATACGCCGTTGTGTACATGAACCTACACAGTTTTAACAATAACCCATCGAACGGAATAACAACATAATATTATTATTATTTAAACATATTTACGAAAACAAGTGAAATTTGTAATTGCAGGATTGTAATAATAGCTATTTTAATTAAGTTTTCAAAACAATTAATATAATAGTACCTACTTACTTAAAGTCGTGCGATTTTATTGCTCATTGCGCTCTTAAAATATTTGTATTCGTGTCACTGTTGCGTGTTTTATAACAGTATTTGTAAGTGTGTAGGTAGTTTAAAATATTACAGTTTGTTAAATATAATACTTATTTATGTATAGGTATAAACACTGAACAATCGTACATAATATTTATATAAATATTAGTATTTTATAAGTAATACCGAGAGATTGGTGGTGTTGTTGAAAAAAAAATAAAATCGTATTTATATTAAATGTGATTCTATCAGCGGCGATTGTGTGCGACTGGCCCAACGAGATTGACGGTGCTTTGAATATTATACGCGAGGGGACTGTTATATTACGTATTACTAATATATTATGTTTCTCCGCGAAGGGATGCTGGTCAAACTGGACGCTGCAAAACTGGTCCACGAGAGCAGATGCTTTTTAAAAAAAAAAACGTTATTATTATTATTATTATAATTATTTATGAAAAAAAAAAATTCACGTGAATAGAAACCAGTTTAACCGGGTACCTACCGGCTAATCTACCTATATACTATAGTAGTCTCCGTTATCGTGCAGATTTTTTAAAACGAATACCTATATATGTATATGTAATAAAAAGATAAAATATGTGAATCCCGTATCGAAAGCGGTGTAGACATTTGGATTCGACCCCTACTAACGTATTTTCTATTTTTTATTTTTTTGACACTACAACACACTGCTACTATTAATGTACAGGACAATAGGACACATGTGTGTTAACGCATTTCCAAGTTAACAACAATAATATTTATAAATCATTTCTATTATAGAAATGAAACATTATAATATATATTATATTGTACTTGTATTTGGTAAAAAAAAAAAAAAATGTAATTTCAAGTTGTCCTATTACAGATTAGAAATAGGTACTGACATAAAGTATACAATTTAAATTTTAAATAAAAATTATTAAAAATTATTATTACCTTCTTTACACAACAGTTGAACGAAAGACGAAGACGACCTACCTTCGTTTTCACGTGCCTGACGTCATATTCACTGTTCTTGTTTTTCACTATACGTATCTTGGCTTGACTTTTTTTCAAACGTTTTCTTTTTCTATCATATTCATTTAATTTTTGTTTCTTGTCTTCTATCTAAATAGCTGATAATCTTGCTTTTGGCATATTTTATTAGTTAATCCAGTTTCATAAAAAATTATTTTATAATTATTATATAATGTTTTGTTATAACTAAAGACCGGATTTAATTGCATTTAAAACACACAAAAATTGCATATTAAAATTATATAATTGCACCAAAAAATACGTAAAAATTGCATAGTAAATTACACTATAAACATGCAAAAGTTATATAAAAACAATTAGATAAATTTTAGTTTTTTTTATTTATAATAAATAATTAGATATATTTTAAAGTATTTTCATTAAAATTAAATCTTCTATTACTTAAAATATGTTAGTACAAAGAAAAACTACGTTCCACGTCTACACTAGTTATTGGTGCATATTTAAAACAATTTAATAAAGTAGTCGTTATATTTAAATTAACATTCGCTTTACCTGACATGACTTCATAATATGATTTTAAAATTTTATACCCTTCATTTTTTTTCCAATTACATACATAAATACATTTTTCTTTAATGTTTTTCCTATTTGGACCACTTATATTTGTTTAAATATCTTCAATTTTTCTAAAAATATCCACGCTTATCAGTAGGTCACTATTAGATTCTTCTAAATTTTTAAGATTTATGGATAACTCGAATAAGTGTAACTTTATGAATGCTAAACCATATTTGACTGCAATATTTTATACAAGCTGTTTCAGCTTTTCGACACTTATAGCATCATTTGTTAAACTTCCTATCACGTTTTTAAACTCTTCAAAATTGTTTGCATAGAAAAGTGCAGCATTTAGCCATGTTCCCCATCTTGTAATAATAGGTTCGAGTGGTAAAGGTATACCCGGCATTTATTTTCTGTATTTATTTATTCTCGATTGTGCTTTTAGGGAAGCTTTTTTTCTGAAATAAACGAAGTAAGTTACATATTTATTTAAATTTTAAATAGGTATTTAATATATTACTATTTTTAATCAATTTATTAATGTTGGGATACAATTCTCTAATTTTCTCTAGAACTCTATTAACTGCGTGTGCCATACATGTAATATGAATTAATTTCGGGAAAAATATTTTTAATATTTTTGCTGCTTTGATCATATAAGTACCAGCATCAATAATAAAAAGTAATCCTTTTTGTTCAATACTAGGAAATATTTTTAACGAGGAATTAATAAACTGACAAATAGTTTCATAATTAGTGTATTCTAGTTCTTTACATGCAACTAAATATGATTTACTAGGCGTTTCATCTAATTTACCAATTAATAAATTTGCAATAGTCAAACCTAAACGAAAATAGTATATTTTATTATATACGAAATTAAAAAATTATTTATTTAAACCTTTTGGATCGGTTGTTTCGTCAACAATTATGAAAAGTAATTATTTTCAATATCACTAATTATTTGGTCCATAACGCTTTTATAAATATGTGGTATGTAATTTTTTCTTAAAGTGCTTTCGTCCGGAATTGATTTGCCAGTATGTTTTTCCAAAAATAATTTTAACACATGATTGCCCAGCTTATGCAAAGGAATATTTGCAGCAACAAATGCATTATATTAATCTTCAAAAATACAATTTTACTACTTGAATTTTGAGAAGTAATCAAAAGTTGTTTTTTTTCTTTATTCCTTTGTAATGTATTTATATGTTGAACTAAAAAAAATATACATATATTTTAAAAATAATATGTAGTTTATTACGTGTAGCATGACCATAAAATAAAAAACTTACTTGTTTTGGAATGATGATTTAATAAATATTTGTTTACAGTAAACACAGATTTGTTACATACGAAACAGTATACAACCTTTCCATAAAATGAAAATACTTCTTTATTTCCATTGTAAGGAGCAATCCAATTCGAAATTTTACTTTTTAAAGTTGATTTTATTTTAGGCATTACGTCGAATACGTTCACTGTGCGGTCAAACTGATCAAAGAAATAAGTACTAAGGTACCAACAGCTAAACGCACACGAATTTCTGTACTACTACGTTGAATTTAATTACCGCCAATTATAAATATATATATATATATATATAGACGCTTATCGCTCGCTGGGCTCTCCAAGCTTCTAGACAATTCAGCCTATAATTTAAAAACGTAGGGAAATTGCAAAACATTGCATTATAAAATTAAATAGGCGGAATATTTTTAGTATGTATCGGCTGTATAATCAATCAGTCTGATTTATGTTTATTGCAAAAAAAGTTAAAATATCAATTAAATCCAGTCTTTAGTTATAACAATACGAGATAGGTACACTAATATCATGGATATATAAACACTAAACATTATTAGATGTACTCGTAATAGTACGAATAATACGAATAATATACAATTTTTCTTGATGATTGTAACTATGTACCAGTGGCGGTTTTTTAACTTTATTCTGAGGGGGGTTGATATTAACTTAAAATATATTTAACATATGAAAAATATTTACTCTATATTTATTAATTTATTTTAATTAACTTGAATAATATTTTTTTACTTAACTACATGAATGTTTTTATGTTTTAATCAACAGCAAAGTTTGTTAAATTTAAAAATTATAACACAAAATTTATTTTTCGTAGTTTAAACTCTAAATCTGGGATGGGGTCCAGACACCTGGACTCCCCCATTAAATCGCTCCTGCTGTAGTGCTCTTGTGTTGTGTACTTGCTACTTTCTATTACTATGTATGAATTTAGTACGTTTGCCTAACGTGCTAAATACCCGGTTTTTAACGTATCATTTGGGACACTAGGCGTTTTATTAGTGCTCTACTACTCTCCCCCTACTTAAACTTAAAAGTGAAATATCTAGTCAACGAATTGACAGAAATCAAAAATGTTAACAGTAAAATTTATTTAAAGTGATACTCCAACTATTTATTGAATTTTTAATATAGGTTCTCATTTGAAAAACCAGAGTTGGAATCACCACAGGATACTTTTTAAATGTTGTGAAAAATCTAACCATTCGAAAATATCGGATTTATAACTACACTTAAAAATTTCAAACATCAGAATTTGAATGTATGCACAATTTAACCAAAAAAATAGGTTGAGCATGCTTAGTAAATCACCCTGTATGTATACGGACGATCGGACGTAACGAAGATGCAAGGTATCTAAACTTATGTTGAAAAACCTAAAAATTAAATGTCTGGTAAATAATGCAGGGCAGTGATTTTACGTGTCAAGCTTTGCTCTCTTTGGGACGGAATATAGCGATTCCTAATTAATTCGTACACAATAATATTATTGCATTTGAAATTTATTTAAAATTTTTGTAATGGTTTTTATCTAGTCTAATAGCTGTCCGATTATTACAGCCTAAAACGTCTTGAATTCACTAAAATTAAAATAAAACCTATATAAGCATAATAATATAGTCAAAGATCTAGCGTAATAGCGAATAACAACGAATATTTAGCGGTAGTTTCTGCATTTCAAGTCTTATCTTACATTGGATTTTATTCAGCCTCTATCCCATTTGGATCATCCCGTCTTTCAACCCATTCTCCAATTATTTCTATCGATAGCCAATATTTTCCAATTCGGTTTACTTCATAAACATTTCATACTACCTGTTGAAAGCATTGGTAGTTAACTGTTTTCGCGGGAAATTACATTTAGGTATTTAAAAAATTACTTGATAAGATTTGTTGAGTTTTGTTTATAACCTAGATACTACAAAACGCAAAAAATGTTTTCCGAGACAAAACAAATGTAGCATATTACCGAGTTTTAACGTTCTAATCTACAAAATGTATTTTCTAGAGCGAGGGCGATTATACATTTTCGTCGATATTTATCTTCTTATAAAAAAAAAGTGTACGATTATAAAATATGTGCGTTATAACGTATGTATTGAACGACCATTTGTAATAAATTTAATAATGACTTGTAGTTGTTACGTATACATTTCATATATCAGACATAAGTATCGTTAAATAAAAACAGTTATTATCATTAAATGTTTTAATTTCTTATAAATTAAAAAGAAGCGTGCCATAATATAATACTGTCGTGTTAATGCGTTTTTGTGTTCGAATATAGTACGCCTACTGTATAAACTGCAATTACGACTCGTAAACGAAAATAGAAATAACATCGTCGGAAATAATAATTGACACCCCACCATTTTCGTTACGCGTCGTTGTCTTTACTGAGTTATATGTTAACAAAAAAAATAA